AAAAAAAAAAAAACTCAGAGAAACAAGTGCAGACAACAACACTCTCTGTATGCCACTTAAATGCCACTCGAGTCCCTTCCAAAGATGAAACGCCTCGCCCAGTCAGATATCACCAAAGCCCTCGTGCGCCAGCTCACCAGCTTACTGTGTACAGATAAAAACATAGTATCATCAGCGAACTTGATGCCAAATGGTAGTCTTATCTTAGTAATCAGCTTTATTTGAGTCGAAAATCTTTGATATATACTAAGACGAGTACCCACCTGGCATACACAGAATACCAGAGCCATTGAGTGCTATGGCCAATCGAGACCCAATCTCCTGGAAGCTGGGCCGCCGTTTGCTCTCCTCCCAATGGAGCAAATTGTCCGAAATGCTTGTACCTTTAGCAAGGGTACAACAATACACTTGAAAATACAGAATGATATCATGTTCTCTTATGCTTTAAATTCAGTTGACATGTAAGTGACAAATGGTCAAACAAGAATGAATTTCGAATGTCTAAATCCGTATCAAGCACAAAGCAATTCATTAGGCTTGTGTTTGCTTATACAAATAAAATTACTATGAAGAAAAAAAGTGAAACCTGAAAGGGCGAAACCGATGGCGTCCTTCACCCCTGAAGCGCAAAGGCCCTTCCGGAATCTTCTCGCAATCCTCCATGCGGTTGAAACAGTCAGCAAGATACGAGCCTTGCTGTGCGGCAACCTGAAAAAATCGGCCAATGAAAAAAAATGAGAAATTCTAAAATAAAAATATAATGAAAAAAAAGGTTAGTATCTACCAAGAGTGTTATAATGTGATGTAACCTGGGCAGTAGCCGGTAGATTCTTCATTTGAGAATCGACCTGGGAAAGAGCCAACTTGAATTCCTCGAGATTCACTTCAACCGACTCTTTCACAGCATCTCCTTTGGATTCTTTCAACAGATCAACCAGACTGCTCATTTGCCGATTTTTCAAATAAAGTCCTACTTGTGGATACCTCACACATATGTCATTAAGCACTTCTTGAAATTCCTTAACAGTAAGTGTGCCCGAGCTGTCTTTATCAGCCTTATTGAATATAGCCCAAATATCTTCCTGCATATATAAATGAATTATGGTTAATCAAGATGAACTTAATATGAAGTCTTTCTGCTAAACACACTTTTTTAAGGTCAATAGAGGGCATAAGAACAACAGGTTCCAGATATCAGTGCACGAAAATTATTATTATATACAAAGTTAGATAAAGTTACATGTATGGCTTTATAAGATGCAAACTATACAGAGTACTAAGAGTCCTATCTATAATGAATTTAGATATATAAGGAATGATTAACGAATACCATGACTTTGCGTTGATTTATAGTGGCACAATCTCCGAGTGCGTATATCCTGTCACTTCCCTCTACTCGCAGCCACTCATCCGTCGCTAGTACACGTCTATTACCCTGGCCAACAGAAATTCAATTCTCAGCAATCTCGGTTTTTGACTACTCGATTTTAGAATCAATTCAGCACTAAGCAGAAAAAATACAACTTGTTAGCTGTACATATCCCTCAAAGCTATTACCTGACCAATTTCCTTCATGAAGTCCATTATGACAGGGCGAGTTCCAATTCCAGTAGACCAGACAACCATTCCATACGGCATAGTGGACACCACTCCCCCATTCTTCAATTCCTTGGTGGAGATTTCTTTATCCGATACTTTGACAACCATCGCCCCGGTTTTGACATCAATCCCGTCCCTCTGAAATTTCTCCTCGGCAAAAGCCGTGATTCTTTTGTCAAACCTGCAACATTACATTAAGACCACAATTAAAGAGGTAA